ACCAGTGGATTAATGTTTATAAAAATTTGATAAAGCAATATAATGAAACAACACATCGAACTATAAAAATGGCACCTGTTTAAGTTAACACATCGAATGCTAGAACATTGTTGAAAACTGTTTATAATCATATAAAACTATTTAAACCACAAAACATAAATGTGGGTGATAATGTTCGCATAAGCAAATAAAAACATCACTTTGAAAAGAGGTATACTCCAAACTGGACTACTGAAATATTTAAATATTTAAAGATCAATAAGAATAACAAACCCAACAACTTATTTACTAGATGAATATCAAGGAAATCCCATAAAGAGATGTTTCTATAGAGAAGAACTTTTACCTACAAAATATCCGAATAACTACTTAGTCGAGAAAATTTTAAAAACAAAGGGTAACAAAATCTTTGTAAATAGTTAGGTTTTCAAACCAACATAAGATAGATAAGAATAATTTACTGTAGTGTTACTTAATTTTTATATATGTATTTATTTTCATGTATTTCACATTTATTTGAAAAAAATAAATAAAAAATGTTTATATATATAAGCTTTTCTATATTCATATCCATAGCAAAGTTGTTTGGTTTCACGGACAAAATTTTGGAGCCTGGAAAAAAGCACATTTCAAATCTTCCAGTAAACATTTTAAAGGTCAATGCAATACAAATTCATTGTAACATTGTAACTGGTACATTTATGAATGACTCTCCCGCACATATTCTGCATGAGTTTTCTTTGGATGTTCCGCCCGGATATATAGATCAAGAAGGTCGTTTAATAAACTTTAGAGGAGAAGAAATCACACTAAGAATACATTTAAGGGCAAGACAGTCATGATTATCTACAATAATAATAATAAATACAAACAGAATCCATTGTCTAAAAGCATTCAACATCAAGTTGTCAAACCTGCAAGACCTCCTTTAAGCAAAGAAAATAAAGAATTTTTAAAATTACTTAAACTAAAGATCAAATTAAATGTCTGAAATACTTGATATTAATGATCATCCATTCTCAGATGAAAATATTGTAAAGAGAGACTACCATAGCTATGTTCCTTATATACATTCGTTTAAGAATAATGATGAAATACGGATAAGTGTACAAAATCAAGATTTGTATATTTTACCGTCCGAAAGCTATTTATACATTGAAGGAAATTTAAGAACAACAATTGGACAAATTCCCACCAACGCTAGACTAAGGAATAATTGTGTGGCATACATGTTTGATGAGATTCGATATGAATTAAATGGAATTGAAATTGATCGCACGCGCTACCTTGGAACAACTACAACAATTAAGAATTGGATTTCTTTACATTCATCGGAAAAAAATATAATGAGCAAAGCAGGGTGGAATATAGATAGTGATATAACAGCGACATCGTTTAACTTTTGTATACCATTGAATCGTTTGCTGGGATTTGCAGAAGACTTTAATAAAGTCATTTGTAATAGCAAACATGACTTGATTCTTCTGCGCAGTGCCAATGATGCAAATGTATGTTATTCAACTGACTCATCTGAAGATATAAGCCTAACAATTACGAATATTGTGTGGAAAGTGCAACACATTCATTTGTCAGATCATAGAAAAATTAGTTTTCTGAAAACAATTAGGGATGGGAAATCACTTCCAATAGCATTTCGTAGCTGGGACTGTTACTTTAATCCCACGTTTGTGGGTGGTCAGAAGCACAGCTGGAATGTAAAATTGTCGGCCAATCATGAAAGACCTCGTTACGTTGCTTTTGCATTTGAAAAGGATAAAAAACTGGTTCATTGTGATCTCCAAAACATCAAAGTACACTTGAATTCTGAAACATATCCCTACGATGATTTAAATCTGAAGTTTGGGGAGAATCGATATGCAGTACTTTATGATATGTATTCCAAGTTTCAACAAACATATTATATGAGGGAACCTCAACCACTACTGAGCTATACCAGTTTCAAGCAAAATCCAATTGCCGTAATTGATATAAGTAATCAAAACGAAGCCGTAAAGAATGGACCCATTGATTTAAAAATTCAATTTGAAACCGATATACCTATACCACAAAACACATCTGCTTATTGTCTAATTATACACGATCGGCTGGTGGAGTACATACCTTTAACTGGAATTGTCCGAAAAGTACTATAAACTACTTTTACCATTTTCATTTTTGAATTTGTAAACATGATAATAAAATAAAATAAAAACACAGATGTATAAATTTTTTAATTAAAGTTTTTTGTTTGTTTTATTTATTTTTTTTTTCTTTGTAAAAACGTTATAAATGAATAAGTACTTACAAGTAAAAACAAATAAACATGTAACAATAAATAAAATGTGATGTTACAAGTAAATGGAATTAATTCTATGTTAATGATGTAGATGTGTTGGAAATATTGTTGCTTTCATTACTAATTCGATAATGACCCCAGGCATATGTTTCAACACCATTTTCTCTAATATACCTCTTATCATCTTGATAACTAAGACATATTTTAGTTATTTTTTCTGTAAAGATAGTATGTTTTCTCGACCTGAAACTATACATACTACTAATCAAATTCTTTTTATTATATAAGCATTCCCTGTAAGTGTCTATTGTGCACTTCTTCAAAACTGATTTCTTTACACCCTTAGATTTTTTTACTTCATCGCTCTCAACCACTTTTATAGCATACATTTTCGGACGAAGACCCACAAATTCAATCATAGCTTTTCCGGCATTCTCATCTTTCATCATCCCTATAACTTTTTTATTAACAATGGGTACATTATATTTATTATTTGGCGGGAAGTCTGAGGTATCCATTCTGGCCATAAATTCCTCGAAGGTTAAATTTTGATATAGATTCACACCCAAAAATGTCAAAATAAACGAGTCTGTATCCATATAATTTAAGAAAACCGAATCACCAAATTTGACTTTAAGAAAATCGTAGAAGTAATCGTACATTATCCATTTTGAAATCTCTAATATGCAAAAGCCTAAATAGATGGGTTTATTATATGTAACTTTTACTTGGTTCATTTGTATTGCTACCATGTTCTCGTCAATTTGCGTAAGACTATGGAAATTTGGTTTTGATATTAATCTACTAGCCACATCCTTTTTTCCGTCCATGTCCCACGATTTAACTATTTTTACAATTTTTCTCTTATCTATGTTTTCCATAGTCTTTCCGTAAACAGCGTTATTCAATAGTTTAAAAAAATCTTTTTCAAAAGCATTTTTAGCTTTAGTCCTATAATCATTGTTTTTCATAATGTATTTTTCTAACCAATTGGATTGGGTGAAGGCTAATACTCTATTAACTTTTTTCAGTATTAATTTATGTTGTAAACATTGTTTTAAATTTATATAATGAATGGCGTACGATTCCTTATCTGCAAAATCTGTAATTAATTTCTTGTTTGTGGAGTACCCTATACATTTGCTTTCAGGACAAAATGGAAGATCATTGTGTAAATCATGCAAATGTTCTGGGTACTCTATATCAACGTCAAAAATGTAGCCGGTTTCAGAATCGTCAGCGATCGCCAGTATTTCCCTTACATCCCTAAACTTTTCAAGTTCTTCCCCTTTCAACCATCTAAAATTTTTACGTGGAAGAGGATAACACATTGATTTTCCATATAAATTATTTACATCATTATAAATAATAAAAGATACTGGTTTTGTTCTATCATAATTTGGGACATCCTCGTTATTGGCAATGGAATGTCGATGTGGACATTGAACTATACCTCCTCTAATTGAATTCTTTAGCAAAAAGGTACTGTTCAATATCTTCGAAGAGTCCCAGCTCCTCCTCACTGCACAACAACATGGCATCCCAAGATAAAGATGGAGTTGTTAAATACTGACACGGATCCAATTTGTGTATATTCATACATAAATTTCGGAAACTTTCAAATATATCTGTGAGTATTAAGACGTCTGTTTTTAAATACAGTTCCATGTACTCTTGGATGGTTTTACAACCAAAATGTGTCCAAACTTCTTGTGCAATCTTGTAATCTTCCTCTGAACACTCACTATCAGTCAGATTATTGTAGAATGCCGTTCTTGGCGGTAATTGCTGTTCTGTCAACTTTCCAAATGATGTGAGGTATTCATAAGGAAAAATACCTTTTCTGGTCATTAGTTTAAAATCATCATCATTGGGGTATTGGGAACGGACAGCCTTGAAAGCTTCTTGTGGAAGATTCTTTGCTAGGCTGTCCAAGCTCGCCGGCATAAACCTAAAACTGTCTAAAAAGCGTAATTCAAGAGTTCTACGTTTATTCTTATTCTTTTCTGGATTGCCGTTAGTAGTATCTGTTCTTTGTAAATTTTGTTGAGAATCTGAATCATCCTTCATGGGAATTTTGAAGGACATTGATATATATTGCTCTTTATTTTGAGCAATTACAAAAATGTCTCCCTCAAACTGTGCCAACTCTTTAATAAACAAATGCGAGTCATAAGATGACAAATTATGGAAAAGTATCGGTATGAATTTAGGAACTCTGTATTGTAAGTTGCACTTGTTATGTGCGGCTCCCCTATATCTTCCCGTCAAGTGACAATGATCTCTTACTTTATCATTAGCAAGAGGAGCCTCACATATGTGACAGTTCATACTTTCGTTAAATTGCTTTAGTTCTAAGGGTGTCAAAGAAATCATTTCCTTTGTTATTATCAAAAAATTGTTATAAATAGATTTACAATCTATAATAAGGTTTTCTAAAAAGTTAATTGTTGCCTGGGGTCCCGAAAATAATTTGAATTTATTTAATTTACTATCGAAACTGCATTGAATAAAATAACTATAGGCACACGGTATGTGTTTTTTTACCTTTTTGGTATTTCCGCCAACAACGTCCGCTACGTCTTCCAGTATGCATTCGGCGTCTGCATAAATGACGAAAGCTATACGCTCCTTCTTTCCGTAGTTCTTAAACTTCAATAAAGCTTTGTCTTTCTCCGGAAGTGTACAAACAACACCTCCACAACCTTTTTTATGACCATTATATTTGTCTTCATCTGTGAAATGTTGAAGGCAACTATTGCAAATGTGAACATGGGTTTTGTGGCGTGTCAACTGTGATCTTAAAATTCTTAAAGTAAAAACAAAAGATTACAAATTATTAACGTGTGTTATACTAATATTTATATATATTCACCTTGACATATCTTCAATCCATATGTAATGGAATTTGTTGTCATTATACAGCAATATTAAATTTACATGGACATCTTTTTCGTTCTTTGTCAGGTAATAAGGCCCAACAACTTCATTATTTTCAAAGCCAAAAACATTTATGCTGATATCTGCATTCATTTTCTCAAAATGTTTAATCTTCTTCAATGATAACGGGAAATTTAGTCCACGGAAATCAAGCACTACCCCAGATTGAAGAGCTATCACTTCCTGTGTGATGTCTATTTTATATGATGATGTCTCACAGATATCGCCAAAAGCAGGCTCTCCTAATGCCGCCACTAAACACCATTTAAAACAATATTGATCTTTGTTTTTTATATTTAGGCAACCCTTCTTTGCATGCAGTGTAGGAGGTGTTGGTATAAACATTGAACCGCGTGTTAAATTCGCTTTATTCACATTTATGTCCAGTTTGCATATTCTTAATAAAGCCCATCCTGAATCTTTTTCTTGGAATTCGGACATTTTAGTAAGAATTTCCTCAGCGTGGTCGAAAAACTCATCATTCACATCATCTCCAATTGTTAGTAATGTCATTTTAGACATATGATTAAAAATTTGATTGATTGTTTGCAATCGAGAATTTCGAGACGTGGAAGGACCATCATAGTCATTCGTTGGCTTAACATATTCACCTTGCAGTTCCATATTAAATTTAAATGTAGTTTTCTCTGCTATATTTAAATTTAATAATTTAACAATATCTTCTTTGCACTCGTTTAAGAACTCATTGGGCATAAGAATATTTCTTTTATTGTTGTATTCATATGTTATGATATTGTTTTTAAATGAACTTTTTACAATTTTAATATTTTCATTTAAAACTTCTCGGACAATACTTCGATGTTTTTCACTCCGAACATGAGAACGCATGTTTTGTACCGCGATTTTACAATCACCGCAAAATTGTGTTTGTTCTTCTTTTTGATTTCCACTTAAATTATGCTCTATATTTTCTTCTTGTATATGGCCACTGTTTTTTTGGTGATATTTCAATTCATACACATTTCTGAAAAGTTTTTCGCAAATTATGCAATGCTTTTTGCAGTGTTTTACGTATTAATTTTTACTTCTAAAGTAAAGACTGCAAATAAAGCAAATCGATGGTGCCATTGTAAAGGAAAAAAAACGTTATTGAATAATGTTTAATTGACGAGAGATGTGCACGAATCTGTGACTTCTGGAGTACTGATACCCTCAAATTCAAAAATCTTCAAAATATCACAATATTCATTGTTTACATTAATAACAAAGTGCTAAGCTTGGCTACAAAATTCAATCATGTTCAACCACAACATCAAAAAAACTTCACCCACAACCTCCCACCTCACCCCTAAACAAAATATTCTCCACTATGCAATGGTCTACCAATAAATATCTGCAAACCACAGTCGGGAATAAAATCAAGTGTAAACAAAAATGTAAGTACTCAGGGCGCATTACACATACACACTATGCTGGGCTACAAAACGGCACCCGAAACTTCAGTTGTAAAAAAAAAGAAAAAAAATCTATATGTTTATATTAAATACAAAGTATTATGTGAATTCAATCTGTTTAGAAGAATTGTTGACGATTTTATTATTTTCCTAGTACTCAAATAAAAAAAACATTGAAATTTCTTCATACACAAAGTACTTTATTATTATTATATTTACTTTTAGCTTAAAAAGTAGAATAAAAGAATCTTGGTTCACTTTGTTTTAATTCTAATTTATATAAGCCACTCTCGCTCCCATCTCGTACGGGCAATTTTGCAATGGAATAGCAGCCATCAGCCAACTGTTTCACATATTCATCTCCGAGGGATAGGAATCTGGATGGCAAATAGAGAATAGCGTCATCCAATTTTAACACAATTCTGTCACCATATTTAGTATGGGTTCTGAAGGTCCATTGATATTGTACTCCCTGTTTTCTTGTAGCTCCTTCATATTTATAATTTTCTTATAGTTGAATGAGATGAAGATACTGATTATATTTGACTTCTCCATGATGTAGCTTCAATTTTCAATTTTATACTGTAACATGTTACTCAAATACTATCCTATTTATATTAAAATCTGACACAAACCCAAGAGATCAACGCATTTAATACCATGCTATAAATATGATTTTATAAAATTTAAATTCGCTCATAATTTCTGTAAATGCATTCAACAAAAATGTTTCCGACTGATCATGATTGAAATCATGACGAACACCAATGCGAATACAATACAACATGATTAAACATGATGACGGACAAAAGGTACTTTATTTTCTCACATTTCAAATAATCATGAATTCTTTAAATGTTTATATAAAATAATTTTGCTGACCTATGTAAAATGTTTGCAACAAAGAAAAGAATGTTGAACATGCTGACGAACAAAAGAGAATTGATATTCTCACATACCAACTTATCGCAAATTCGTTAATTGTTTATAAAAATCATTTTACGGACTTAAGAAAAAGAACCCTAAATAGAAAAACAAAAATCCACCAGACTGATCGCGATTAAACATGCTGACAAATTTAGAATAAGAGACACACTTGGCGCTTTCAGTCTATCCAATTTAAAAAAAAAAGAACCAAACGGCTTCGATACACCTAATCGATCAAAGCGACATCTATATTCCTATTTTAGAAAAGGGCAAAATATTAATTCATTTCGTCACAATGTGCAATAAACTTAAACATATACCTCCATTTCGAAATTGTTTCCCTTCCATAGCATACTTTTAGGAGTTTGCTTTACAGCTAACCAGATTAAATAACATTAAAAAACAAGTCTTTTATCGAATCTACAGGGCAGCATCAATAATTCACCAAACCACAATTTAAATAAAAGAACCAAAAGCTTTTGAATCACCCAATCTTTAAAGATCACAGGGTGACACAAACAACTCACTACCAAACGGATTGTGTCTATGCTACAAAAACGACATAGATCACAGTGTTGCACATACAACTCACCACCAAAAAGTTTATGTCTATGCTACATACACGACAGGCCATCTACTGACTGCGATCTAAATCACCACTATTTTGGTCAAATACACAGGGTAACATCTGCAATTCACCACTTTTTGTTTCGTGTCTACGATACACATACAGGGCGACATCTACACTTCACCACGAATGGTTTGTGTCTTTGCTATGTAATTTGATACGATATTCATTTAATCCCCACATAACCTCTACTTCTCTCCACCAACAATTATTAATATTCGCCCCCTTTTTGGGCTAGTGCCCATATAACCTCATTATTTATATTAAAATCGTCTAAATTTTCTGAAACGGATTTTGTCCAAAGAAACATGGTGTCTAAAACAAATATATTTCGATGAGGCACATTTTCACCGTGTCAAAGTGTATACACTCTCATCTCAATTACCTCAGCCTTAAGGCTAAGGCTGAGGGTAATTTATCCATTTTAAAATTTGTATTATGGTTTATATTCCCTATATTTTCATTTCAAGTACCTGTCAGTATATCTATGGTGGAGGGTATCCAAAGTTCGGCCCGGCCGAACTTAACACTTTTTCACTTGTTTATATTAAAATAGTTATATGATTTGTTCCGTGTTTGGGTTTGGTTCTAAGGCGCTGTTGTAATCATTTCATCTGCGGTAAGGTAAGGTTCGATAATTAACGTAAGGTTCGATAATTAACTTTGGTTATATTCATATATATGAACTGTAACCCGCATTTAGGCCCAGCCCCTGCGTGGGAGGTAGCAGAAGGAGTGGGGCAAAAGTTATATGAATTAAAAAATTTTTGAAACAAATTTGGTCCAAAGATACATGGGGTCTAGGACCAATAATTAGGACCATAATCGGTTTGTACAAATATCGGTATAGGTACACTTTTTGGTATGTTCCCTATATTTTTATTTCAAGTACCTATCAGTCTATCTATGGTGGAGGGTATCCAAAGTTCGGCCGGCCGAATTTAACGCTTTTACACTTGTTATTAAACACATTTCAAACTCTTTTGACACAAAAGACGTTTCATTGTCCGAAATGACATATTTTGGCAAACCAAAACGGGCTAAAAGATATCTTAATACCGCAATGACCGATGTACTCGTGGTATTAGTACCCATACAATTAATGTCCTTTTAGAAAATATGGCAATACCTCCTGATCAAGACATTTTCTTGGCCAGCCATTAGATAGGAAATCTTTAACCTTTATGAGAGTATCATCTTTTCCTGTGCCCTCTTGTATTGTTTCCAAACATCACCATTTGCGGTTATTTTGCATTACTTTAATAAAATGTATAGCCATGTTTAAATTATTCCTAATCATATCACTCATATATATAACCAATCCAGTAGTACTTTAATGTCTACGTTAGGCAAACTGACCATATAAATATGTCTTCTCATATGTACCACTATTTCCTTAATAATATGCCCACACAATTTTGACAACACAGGGAGAATAGAAATAGTCCTAAGATATTCAGAGCAACGAACAAAACCAACCTTCGGTATAGGGAACACATGAGCTTTCTTCCAAGTCAAAGGAAAAACAAAGGATAACACAGAATTAATCAAACCAAGAACGTAATCAGAAATATATGGAAAAACAAGTTTCAAAAAAACAATGGTATTCCCTCAACAACAATGGATTTAGACTTAATTTTGTTCAGAGCCACAACAATATATTCAACAAAAACAACACAAAAAAAAAACATTGTCAGAATTATCGATGAAGAAATCATCAAAATCGTTGGTACTACGATTCCAGTCCATATTCGCGTTGTCACGGTATTCGACAAATTCACAAAATGTGCTAATGTTGACATTAAGTGAGGCGTAAATTAGGGAATGCTCAGAAATTGATGGACGAATAACTTCATCAGAAAGATAAATGAGGGAACAGTTGCTATTTAACATAAAATAAATTAATGAAGACGAATTATGCGTACATCATAGTGAGTAGGTACGGAATTATGTAGGGTAGATAAGTTTAACCGGAAACAGATAGAGCGGACGGACAGAGCCTTATGAGGATCGAACAAATTGCAGTTGAAATCAACAACAATGGCTATACAGGAATAATTCAAACATAAATCAGCATGCATATTTTCAAAAGCAGCAAAGTCACCCTTAATCTCATGCTACTCCGAAGGATTCTCACAGAGCGGAGGATTGTGTTCAGTGGCTAAACATACTATTAAGCTAAAACATAACGGACCAATAAAGCAGAGGTACTTCCCGCGTAACCCTGCTATGATGGATATTGTGAACGAAGAAGTTGATCGGCTCATCGCACAGGATAAGATTGAACCATCCTGCAGCGCATATAGTTCTCCCATTGTCCTTGCCCGGAAGAAACAAGGAGGTTGGCGGATGTGCATTGACTACCGAAAACTGAATGAAGCCAGTGAACCCGATGCGTATCCCTTACCACAAATTAACGCTATACTGGACCAGTTAAGGGGGGCCAAGTTCATATCAACCCTGGACCTAAAGAACAGCTATTGGCAAATACCACTAGACGAAACTTCGAGGCCGTGTACCGCCTTTACGGTCCCGGGCAGGGG